TAGTAGTAGTAGTAGTAGTAGATTATTATGTAATTGTGGTAATACTTGTTGTTGCTGTTGTTGTACTAGTTACTACGACTGCTATGCCGAAACGAAAGCTGCTTGAACAAGCCTGGCCCCGGTGTTCGTGTTTTGGTGCCCCCTGTCGCCCGCAACTTGATGTGCAAAGCTCCGATGCCAAGCTCCTGCAACGCCGAAGCTCCACTCTCAAGTTGACGAATGCTGAGCCGACAGGAGTGAGCAAGTGCTGATGACCCACCTCTGTGCGTAGAGTCGAATCTACATTACCCCTCCTTGCAGCGAGCCGCAACGTCCTGCGCTGCAAGCATGGCAGCCTCAGTGCATCTTCTCCGGTCCTCGTCCTATCCTTTGCTAGTCACTGCTAGTCACTTTTAGAGAGATGAAACGCCGGGCCCACCACTGAGCTGCCCTTCAAATTGCGAATGGCACAATTGACCGAGGCATGGACGTACGGTGACGATTCGTCTCGATCAGCCTTCACCTCGACAAATCCAAGGCGAGTCACGGCTGGACTCGCTGGGACTACGAGCACGATGCACGGCACGAAGAGAGGCAGAACAGCTATGAAAGAGCACACCTGATGCCACCTGGCATCTCGCAAACATTCCAACTTCCCTGTCCCATCTGCCTTCATGCCGCCGGTCACCCTCATAATGGTTTCGCGCCCAGACAGGTCTGTCACGTGGACGAAGGTGTCCTGTCGCAGCGGAACAGCCCGATAGCTTCTATGGTATGATCAAGTCTCACTTGATTCACTGCTGAGACCCGGTCGTTGAACGAGGCATAGATATGCGCTACGCCGAACACAATCTGGCGCATACCACGACAAGTCTCGTGTTGCACTCGCAACTTGAGTTGGGGTTTTGCAGAAAACGCTTTTTTCAATTCATGAAAGAATGCCCGCGCGTTTTGGAAGGCAGGTGAAACCGGATGCAATTAGGTGAAACGACGGACGAGAACATTCCTTGCGGCGCAGGACTAACTGACTGGTCAAGCGAATCCTCCTCATATTACTTATCATTGCTATGCGGCTAGCGGAGGCATGAGAACTCTCGATCTGCCTGGTCCGCCTTCTGCAGACTCACGGATTGATCCCGCGGCGGCTTGTCAGAGAGTCTGGAGGGATGGCCCTTCTCCTGCTGTTGCTCACAGCACGACCCTTGCAAATGTGCAAGCCAATGCCATGCCGCCAAGAAAGCAGTCCTTCCGCGTCAGCTCTCTGCGACAAGCCTACAAAATTGTATCCGAGAGTGCTACAGAGAAGATGAAGGAAATCCAATGGACGTTCTGAGAACCTCACCACCGTGGCGTCCCTCTACGGCTGCTAAGGTCCAGCAACCTTTCCATTCAGGCTCCCAGAGCCCATCAATGAAAGGCTTCCAACTGCAAGTTACGGTGCTGCAAGCAAGAGATATCAAGAGATTGTGTGGTTTGATTGATAGACTAGACAACCATGTGAAAGATGGAAAGTTTCAGATCGCGATTTTTGGAAACAGAACAACGCGAGGTGCAAGGGGGCGGCAGAAGATTCGACACGAGGCTCCGAGTGCAAGACCACAGTGATGACATGCGTCGGCCTCGGATATCACATAGGAAGCTGCAAAGGGAAGGCTTCGTCCGAAACCTTTGGCGATTCCTTGTGACTGCAGCTGGACTCAGTGTCGGACGGCACCTGCAGTTCCTCATTAACTTTCGAGCCCAAGTACCTGAAACAGAAAAGCCAGCGATGGTTCCAAGCGCTGCTTCAGAACTCCACGACTCTTGGGCTTGAGAAACCCAATTTCCTGCTGCGGCTGAGGTGCTGATCTAACAGTGCCTTCAGCTCTTCGTTCTGTTTCTGCATTGTGACCTTACATCTCTTACATCTGTCTTACAAAGTTACGGCCTGGTGGTTCGAAAACGCAAGCGCCTGAAACTGCAGATGCTGGCACACAGGCGATAAGGGCGCAGACTGCAGAGTCGATGGCCTGGCAGGCACTATCTCGCTGCGAGTTGAAGCAGCAGTAACTGGTTCCGCACAGTTGCCTTGCTTCGCTTTTGCAGCAGGTCATAGTAGCGCTTGAGGAACACGTCCAATGCCTGCCACAATACTTGGCACAAGCCTCTTCATGCTGTGGCACATTGGTCATCTCGGACACAACAATTACACAGTGCCTTCCAAACACGGAAGTTCATGTCTGGGATCACGTGGCCTACCGAGCTGGCAGACGGACCAGAGTAAACACAGTTCTCAGTACTGAAAACCTGCATAGGGCTCCGCAAATGCTTCCACGACACAATGTGATCTCAGAAAATCAGGTTCCGACCCATTCGCTCCCAGAACTTCCTTTCTTCTCGTCGCCGGCGTGCCTGGCAACCCACCAACATAGTTCCGACTGAAGAAGCGTGACATTCAAAAGCAAGCAGCGATGAGAAAGCGAACAGACAAGAGAAACATTTTGGTTACATCTGCGACATGGCGACGGCCTTGCGATCTGCCTCGCTCTCGCTGCCGAGCTGCTGGGTCCGTGCCTGCAGTTCCCACGGTCCATGACCCGCCATGATCCCTATGCGGCATATATACCCCGTGCTGAGAGTTCTCAGATTGGACAGTGGGATGCTGAGTCACTCGCCTTTTTCTTCTTATCAGGAGCCACGTCCGCGATCCTCATGTTCTCCTTCTCCTCTTTGAGCAGATGTGTACTATCGCCACTTTTGCCACAGTCAAACACTGACGTGGCGCAGGCATGTTTCCAAGCTCCTCTATGAAATCTTTCAAGAGTTGGAGTACATCATCGGGCTCCACCTCTGTAGTGGCACGGAATCTTAACATGCGGCAACAGTAAGAATTGACCCTCACCTACACAGAATGCAAAGCTCGATGGAGACTCACCCGAGGAATGCAGTCGCGCAGATTGCCAAATGGATCAAGGACAGGGCCATCAGGGCTTCGTCGTCCTCTTCCTGACCACGATAGAAGACCTGCACCAGCCTGGCGATGTCACGTGAGCTTTGCATCTATTTCTTGATTCGTGGTTGGACCGAAGCTATTTGCTCTCACGAATTTGCCTTTGGACGGAATGCTTGGTCACGAATGAACTGCAAAAGGAAAACAGCTTGCGCTCGGTTCCCGACAAATCCACGTCCTGCTGCCCTTCCACGCCGATGTAGCGAAGAAGGGCATCGATCTGCAAGACCTGTGTCCATCTTGTCAGTCCACCCACTGCAAACGCCGCTGCCCTCATCACGTCTGAGACGAAACATGCATGTTACATTCACTGAACGCTGGTCATGCATTAGGCAAACGTCAACCACACGTTGTTGAATATTGTTAGTATGAAAAAGCTTTGCTGAATCTTTGCATGTTTGTGAATCTTCTCTGAAAGTGGTACCTTTGATCAGTTGACGCTTTCTATTGAAATATTCAACAAATTCCAACTCGATGTTACTTGAGTCCTGGAGTATTGGTTCTAGCAGAAGCAAATGCATCCCAGACATCATTTCTGCTGCTAGTTGGTGGCTGCGACTCATGACCAATGAACGGCTGAATAGCAATTGGATGAGAGATTTGTACAATTCCTAGATGAAAAACCACACTACGGACTCCGGACTGTCTGTATTTGAGTCCCAACATGTCTTGACAACCGTGCCCCAAAGTCTCTAGGTAAAGTCTGGTCTGCACAGCACATGTGTGACATCTTGTTTTGGGGGGATGTTGCTGGAATGCTGCTCGTTGATTGCCCGAATGGACACGGCATTGGTTTTTTCTGCTCGAAAAAGAGAGCCAAGTCCAAGTGATGTGGCGGTGCTGGACGCGACTCGACGGACTGGCCGCAGCGCATCGGGGCCCGGGCGTCCCGCTGCTCGGGAGGGAGCTCGGCCAGCTGGTCACGCACCTCCCAGCGACACTCTCAGACACCCAAGAGGCCCCTGGATCTTGTCTCTTCAAACTGCTGGAAGAGTGCACCAAACAAGACATGATGCTTGGATTCTGTAATGGACACGTTGAAAGCTTGTGCCATAAGGAAGGCTCTTTTTTCATGCCGTCCAAAGTCGCCTTGTCTGGGGAAAAGAACGCAGCACACTGCTTGTGGTCGATGTGCAACTGCTTGCAAATGCTTGCTCGCATTGAGGAACTTCATCCATGTAACTATGTACACTCCGAGCGTTCCCAGCATGAGGTTGTTCTTCAGAGCTTCTGGGGGAGCTCAACATCGCCGCATCCACGGCTCTTGCCGAGCTCGGCTCAGCAATCCCCGGGTCAGTGCTCCGGCCAGCGGCGGGTACACAAACCTCTTCGAAATCATATGGGCCTCCATGGTCGCCATCTTTGGTCAAGTTTCGTTTCACAGACCAGCGCTACGAAACCACACAGAGGTGGCAGCAATGTGAGCAGCCAGTAGGACGTAGCCACTTGTGGCAAAGACGAAACCTGAGGCAAGGAAAAGGCAGCCGCAGCCATGCCAACTACAGCATGACATCGGACATCCCTGTTTAGAAAAGAACCTGGGCCATCCTGGGCCCTGCATCCAAGAATCTCTCGGCTGCCTGTGACGGCGCTGGGCGCCCCAGTGAGGCATCGAAAACCAAGCTGCCCTTCCTTGGCTGCAGGCGGGTCAGCATCCACACTGGGAATATTTGGTAGGCCGCTTGAAGGAAGGTCCGACTGCTCTGCAAGGCGCGTACCAGCCACGCAGCCTTTCACAAAACTCGTCGCCGACCGTAAACTGATACCTTAAAAGGTGTCGGCTTAAGCTGCAAAATGCCTGGTTTCGACCATCTTGGGCCATGGCTCGATCTGCACCGCCACGCACCCTGCCCGGGCTAGACGCTGCTCGGCCGCCACCGCCAACGCCGAAGCGACGCCAGAGCCCTCGTCTGCAAGGCAAAACCGATGCAAACGGCCTGTTCTCGGTCTCAGCTCTCCCCCGGACACGGCCTGTGCTGCAGGATCCACGACCTTGCATCTTAAAGATCCCTATAGGTTCGAGACCGGAATCACAGAACGCTTACCTTTCGCCAAGGATCCATCAGCCCCCAGTGTCCGCAGCCGCAGCACGTAAATGGCGGCTGTATGGTGGAGGAGCAGCCTCAGCTAGCTTGAACCTCGCGCGATCCAAAAGACAAGCAAGACCTCTCCACCGCCGAGGGTCAGCCAACAAGCTGAGAATCGCGGAAGGCCAAATGCAACACTCTGTTGGCACAGCCTGCAGGCAGACTGTCAGCTGGGCGAGGTGAGCAAACACTTGCAGCCGGGAACCTCCACCATCCCCCATGGCCACTCGACTGCGAACATCATGCTCAGAGATTCGCCTATCAAGAACTGACACCACTTGAAAGCTGGAACGAAGTCGCGGAGCCTGTAACCATAGGCTCGGTTCACCATGCTGGCAAGCCTGGGAATCAGCGTCCCATCCTGGAGGTTGCAAATCCAGCTTGAAGGGCACATGTGCCACACTTTGGAGTTCCGGCCTGCGCTTCCATGTCGCTGGTCGCGATCCGCACCTCCAAGAGCGGCGTTGCCTGACTTTCATCATGGTGATGCGCGGTGAACACGAAGACCGACAACCCGAAAGCCCTGCTGCACCTCCATCTCCTGAGAGATCGGCTGCTCCAGCCCGCCGTCTCCCGCACTCCCCGGGTTCTTGCGTCGCATGGCTGCAAGAAGCGGCAAAATTTCCGGGTGGCCGTGATGGCTGAAAGAGGGGAAATGGATGACATGTGATGTTCCAAGCTAGTTTGACCTTTCCTGCGAAAGCGTGCGGAGGGTGCATGGAACAGCAAGCCTGTAGCAAAAGCCCATCCCTGCGAAAAAAACACAACTCCGGCCTTCATGTCGAGCAGAAACTGGGTCTCCTCTTTTATGAGATCCAATACCTCACGCGTCGGGAAGACGGTCAACGGACGCGAAAGGGAGAGAGCATGCTTGCTGCTACGGCATCAACACGAACTTACCAACCCAACCTTCTTGACTTTCGTTGCAGAAAACTTCCCGGAGTCTGACTGCCCCATTTCGGCCGACCTTCGAGATGTCTCATGGCTCACACCCCAACAACCTTTTGTGTAACCGTCCAACAAGTTTGAGCAGGAGGCTCCAGAGCCGTGCTCTTCCCGGTTGTCGTGCCCGACTCCGAGAAAGTGTCCAACTCCTGACATGATAATATTGAGCCCTTCTCGCCTCTGGAATCTTGACTCTCGCAGCGGGGTCCTGCTGTAGCAGCTCCTCCTTTGGAGGGACCCACTCGTGGCCTAGCCTGGCCCGCATCACGGGTTGTTGGTTATCGTGTCTGTGGCCCGTCGCTGAGCAAATTTGTCGGCATGACTGCTGTTCATGAAGAAGCCGATCTGCCTCGAGGACCTAACAAACGTCTCGAAGGAAAGAAACGAGGGCGACAAGGCCGCAGCCTGTCTGAGGCGAATCGCAATCACTGCTCCGGCCTTGGTCATAAGACCTCGCACCTCGGCCTCGTTCATCTCCCAAACCTGACAAGCCCCGTTGCCACCCGAAAGAGTGACGGAGTCACAGTGAGCAAGAAGCTTTCAACCTGGCCTCTCTGAACTTCTTCTCGTCGGCCTGCTCGAAGTGTTGGAACTTCTCCTGCAGGTCCTGTCATGCTGCAGGTGCTGCTTGTAGAACACCAGGTGCCTAGATCGCTGAGTCATGAAAATCGATGTGCAAACTCAAAACAGGGGAAGGCAGGTTGCGAGACACCGGGTTCGACAAGTCTTCTGGCAACTGCGCGCTAACTGGAGCCATCCTTGAACTGCTTGGTCAGGCGCTTGTACTCTTCTGTGAGCTCGTGATTGTGAGTCTTGTACCTGAAATCGCAACATCGACTCAGGAAAACGTCCCGTGGTGCACCATGATTCGATGTCAAGATGTATGAGGCACTTCTGGTCCAAGGTGTTGTACCGACCCATCAGGGTATTCCTATGCCACCGGTGACATGGCACAGCACAGCGCTCGGGGAATCTTGCTGGGTCTCTGGCAGAGTCTCCCGAAGTCGATTCAAGCGGTTTTTGTACGAAGACCTTTGCAGAACAGTTGCGTCGAAGCTTGAGTCTGAGGAAGTGCTCAAGTCCCAAGAATAAGATGAACAAGCACATCGAGTCTCGTAAGCCGGAGGAACACAACTCAACGGCTGCATTTCCATCCCTGGTTAGGACGTGCGGGATGAAGGAAACTGACATCGCGAGAAAAGTTGGCACAAGGCTCAATATGACGGACAGGCACTCACGAGTACCTGACTGGATGGCAGTATGCTCCTTGTTTCGTTCAGAGAGAACCTGGCGAGAAAGGCAAAAGCCGGTATTTATGCATGCCAAAGACTAATGCCTGGAGATTGTACTCCAGCTTCTCCTGCGTGGACGAGACATGTCTTTACTGTTTCTGCTTGCTGTGTATTACATGCAACTGCCTGATCGAAAACCCTGCATCGTGGACATTCCAAAACGCTTGGCCCCCAAGCTTTGGCTCAAAACTACAACAACCTGTGAACCAACTAATCCCCGTAATGCAGGGCCATTCGCCGCGAAAGAGCCTTTGCAAACCAAAAGTTGAATGCGGATACCTTGTTACATGCCCGGCATCAGTTGGAAGGGTCACAGGCAGAGAAGAGAAACACTGTAAACCGCACAAGTGCAAATCCTTGTTGAGGAGGTATGTCGCAACCATCTTCTCCAAGTGCTGCTCTAGTTCCTCTGCAGGATCTCGCAACATGCTGCTAAACCTGCAAGCAAGACCAGCCAGCCTTGCCTGAATACCCTTTTCCAGTGCAATTTTGCCTGTAGTGACACAAATCACCCCTGTGCTCGAAACTCGTCGACAGAGCCTCCTACATGAAGAGTATGCTGAGGGACGTACACTTATTGTATCCGTCGGCATTGTCCGTTCTGAGCTCTTCTATTTGCTGCTGGAATCCTCTTTCACGCTCCTTCCGGCAAGCCAGGAATCTGCGACCATAGTCACTATCGAGCTCGCAGTCGAAACTTGCGATCTGCCTGCCGTCTTTCGAGGAATTCATTCTCCTCCATTTGTCTTCTCTTCTCAAACAGTGCCTGACACAAACGTGTGCCCAGAGTTCTACAGTAATATGGGAGCAGCAGCTCGAGTCGCGACTGCTGTTCGAGTCCTGCTTTCATGACTTTGAAAGAAAGGCGAGCCTCTGCTTCAGGCCAGCGCCCCAAAGGCCCGTGACTTATAAATACCATTCATGTCATGTACAGAGCCACCCTCATAAATCGATGCTATGCGTCGACCTTTGGCAAGGAGGGCAGTCACCGTTAGTGACTCAGTGCGGGTAATCTGCAGCCAGTTTGAGGGCCTCTATTTCCGCTTTATTCTTCTGAAGCATCTCTTTTCGCTCGTCTTCAAACGCTTGCTCGATATCTTCCAGCCTGACGAGGCGGGCTACAAAGCTGGAGGTGTCGTGGAATCCTTTTGCCATGAGGGTCGGGCTCTTTCTCGTAATGTTGTCTCAGAGCGTGATACTGCTCCCGCATCTTGGAGATGAGGGTAGTGATGTCCACACTTTGCCTCAGCGGCTCCAAGGGGCCTTCGAGAGCAGTCACTCTTTGTGCAACCGTACGACTAAAGTCCCTGCAAGTCTCAGGGCTGCGCTGTTTGAGCATCTTGATGTACTCTTCATCCTTGTTTTTCAACTCGGCCTTGAAGTCGTCTATCCGCCTATCTTTGGACCTGAGCCCGACAGTAGTGACCAAGTCTGAAGATGTTCGATAAGCACTTGCAGCTGGTGGCACCACAAGAAATCACAGTCCTCCTGAGAGGACGGCTTGATGATGTCTCCGCAAGCAATCTTCTGAAACTGGAGCTGGTCGTTCAGCTCCTGTGCACTGTTTCAGCTGGCTTGGCTATCGCCCGGTCTGCCTGCTGCCTTTGAGAACAGCATCAACTGCTCACTGATGCAAGCCCACCTGCGGAATGTCCATGTTTAGAAGGTCGGCCTGAAGTCACTGCATCGAAGTGCCCGGCCCAATCCACAGCTTCTGCGACTGCTGCTAAGATCTCGCATGACATCCATGTGGGATGTCAGAACATGATATTCGGCTCCGCTCTTCCGAGACAAGGGCCCACTTCATCTCAATAGCTGCATTCTTGCGTCCGCTGGTCACGGCTTCGATCTGGAGAGCCTTGGGCCAGACGATGCTGGAAACAACATGTATTGAGGCTGCTCTGATGTCCTACCGCACGAAACAACCTCGACGCTGCCATCAAGGCCAGCAGCCTCGTATCTGTCTAGACGGTTGTTCTCTTCGACGATGCGACGCTGGTTCTCCTTCGGCAAACAGACACAGACCGGGTTAACTCCAAGCTTTGCATGAGCACTGTGTAAACCTATGTGTGCTTGCCAGCTGTTGTATTGATGCTTGGGGCCAGTAGCAAGTTGCTATACATGCAAGCCAAGAAGGATTGCTCCTGGTCGTCGAAACGTACACGAATGCTGGTCAACCTTCGGAACAGCATGCGCTAATTGGAAGCAGGTCGTAGTCTCGGTATGAGCACTTGCACAAAAGGAAATCCTGGACCGGAACACCGACCACAACCTAGACTGAGTGGACTGCTCTTCCCAAGTTTCTGTTCGGAAGCGCTCGAGTTCCGCCACCGATTTCTCAGTCAAAGCAAGCAGTTCACACCGATGTTGTTTGATAACACCATGGTAAGTGCCAGACTGCATACTGTTCTTTGCCGAGTGAAATCTGCTCTGCTGTGTCGTCCTTCTTGGTCTTCTTACCTTCCGCCTCCTCCTTGCCATTGGACCATTCCAGAAGGCAGCCCACAAACACGCACTGCCGCAATAAAGCGCAAGCAATTTCCTCTGTCCCTCGGATCCCAGCCTTGTCCTGCTTGAGCTTGGCCTCACACCAGCTGCTAACGTGATACTGTTGCAATAAAGTTAAAGCATCTGCAAAGCCCCAAACACTCCTGAAAAGTTTTGTCGAGCACGCAAGTGACCGCGGACCACGGTCGTTAAGCTCCCGCTTCGTCAAATTCATATTGATGGACACGAAAGAGGCAGGATCACACAAATGCCAGGTCTTGGCATGCAAGATGTTATCCAAGCCTCTGCCCGTTGTCGCCTGGCTGCAATCCGCTCATCAGAGCCTGGGGGAAGTTTATTTCAATCAAACGCAAAGGACGTGGACATGGCGCACATTCCATCAGAAGTAATGTACGATGTACGCGACATGCAAAAATGCTCAGATCGTGACTGCCAAGGTTCGATATTTCCAAAGTGTTCATTGAAGTCGACATCGCACGTCGCCCAGACCTTGCCAGCAAACCATGTCAGGTCAGGCTGGGAGACCGCTGTTCTCAGCTGCTCCGCTTGGCCTCGTAAACGAAGGATCTGGGCAACTGCTGGAAAAGCCCACCCGCTTGAACCCATGGCATGGTCGACATGGTTTCACAGCTATCAGCACCGCAGTTGGATGAACGCTCTGATGACGAACCCTGCAAAAGCATTCCTGCAACGACATGCGAGCGGACCTCTCCCTCCCGGACCTGTGGGCCCAAGGAGACTGCTTCAACTTGCTGTCTCACCTGCAACAACACGGCCCAGCAACTGAAATTCGATGTCTCTTCGGAGAACTGTATATACTACGTCTCGAACCAACGAAGCGTGTGTTCCAAGCAGAACAGACGAACCTTCGGAGGCATGATGCTGGATCTACGTGTTCCTGGCAGCCGAAACAGCGACCAAGACCCGGTGATCGTGCGAAACCAAAATAATGAATATCCCTATCCCAATGGCAAGCTCAACTACAGCACTTAATTTCAAAATTCAGTTTGGAACCGATGTAACAACCGACATGTGCCACGATGACATCAATCTAAACGCCATCAATAACCTGTGCTACAACTTCAAGTTGCAACGTATTCACCAAAAATTCATAACGAAACTTGAACAAGATTGAAATAGAGCTGGCAATTGGACATTTGTGATATGCACCCGCTGACCAACGCAAAGTTATGCAAATTATGGACAGCTATATATTGCTGTGTTCTTTGCCATGCCGCCCATGCTTGCTGAACAGAAACTATTTGAGGTTTCCAAATTTTGCAGGCAGGGACCTTTGGCCGAAAAACGAAAACCACCTGAAAGCCCAGTGTGGATGTCATCGAGGTTGGGCATGGAAGCCTAAAACCCTAAGCCCAGCTTCCCCTGCTTGCGGAACCCAAAAAATGCGACATAACACTTGGTGTTGGGCAAAAGTTGACTCCATGGGGTCTTTGTCCTGGGGCAAGGTTTTTGCGCGGTTTATTCCTTAGGATTTTCTTCCTTGCCCAAAGGTTCCTGCAAGCTTTATTCTTCGACGAAAAACCTGAACACTAAACCCAGCACGAAACTTGTGCAAAAGACGAAAAGCCTGAATGAATAAGGCCTGCAGGAACAGTTGGCCAAGGACGAAAACTCTGGAGAGTTGCCCGTGGCCACAAGAACCCTGATTTGTAAACCCAGCACGAAGCTTTTGCGAAACACAAAAAACCCTGAGGAATGAACTCCACAGGAAGTCCACCAAAGACGAAAAACCTATGGAGTAACGCCTGCAGGCTTTTGGCCAAGCCAGTGTTCACCTTTGGCTGAAGACGAAAACCTATGGAAAACCCTGAAATGTCATGGAAAACGCCAAATGGATGCGTGGAGCTTCTCGAGGATGATTACTGGACCCAATGCAAGCAACTCTGGACATGGAAGCAGGGTCAAAGTGATGTTCTGAAAAGTGAGTGCAACTCCAGATGCAGAACAAGTTGATCTCGGACTTGGCTTAGCTCTTCAAGTATGGATGGTTTTGACTGACAACCTCCCTACCACCCGCTTAAGGCGAGCGAAGATACAAATGACACACATGCCCAACAACAAATTGTTGCGGCATGAAGTGGAACATTCCGTTCCATCTTTTCCAAAGAACAATTTCCGCGAAAAATAAAGCGATCCCAACAAGTGTTCTACTCTTTCGACAAGATTCTTAGGCGCTTGCTGCCTCTGTCGCTGGGTTGTAAGCTGGATTTTGAGAAAAAAAAGTGTTGTCCTGATAGCGACTGTTTCGCGTACAAGCTAAGCGATGGTGCAATGCGAACCAATTGCCAACTTCTGGAAGAGAAACAAAATCAAGAGATCAATCCAGCATGATGTAGAATGCCTCAAGCATGACACTTCTGTGGAGAGTTTCTTCGTCATCATTTGATGGTTTTGATGGAGGTTTTCGGCCTTCGATGCTCTGGATGCCGCTGCTTACTGCGTGTTAGAGATCAAAACCATTAATTCCATCAATTCCGTCAATCGGTTCTTCGGATCGAAAATCGTCTTCTCGACCTCGTTAACGCCTTCAACGGAGCCCAGCTTTAAACCTGTTTTTGTGCTTTGGAAGCACGTTTTTGGACCCCAATGAACCGATTGACGGAATTGATGGAATTGATTTGTTTTGGCCTCTGCTCCAAGCCCCCGGGGGCCGCAAAGAACCATCAATCGGTTCTTTCAAGCTGAATGCACTTTTTTTGGACGTTTTTGCGCATGCTTCACCGCAAATTCACATTCCAACGAACCTCGTTCTGGACAAACAGTCTTGTGAGTTGCCATGCATTGGAATTTTGCGTGTGATTCGAACCACTCTAGTGGCAATTTACGCATTGTTGCAAGATGCATTGTTGTCCATTTCTCGGAACTCGTGATATCTTTCCCGCAATCAGCAAGTTGTGCCATTTCGTGGTTCGTATCAAGCATCATCAACCCACAGCACAAACAGCGTGGCCCAGAACCGCTTTTACAAGCGAAAACAAATACACAAATATCCATTCCATGCGGTGAATGCCGTGGTTGTATTGACATGTGTAGACAATGGTTTTGGGCTCCGGTCATTCAAAAGTTTGGTTATGCATGAATGGCCTTCCAGGCCGACGTCCCAAGCAAAAACATCCAAACGGCTCTTACCAAGAAACAGAATCTGCATAAATCATGCAGCTTCGGTACTGGACGCTTGTACGATGTTCTGTGGCCGTGTCAAGCCATGCCGGGTGTGGTGCTGATTCCACGCGGACCTGGCCCCATCAATGCTTTGGGCTTTACTGTACCTGGCCTTTGCAAGAGTAACGAATGCGATTTGAATTGGTTCTTTGTGGACATAGTGTTAAAGGTACGTCTGAAAAAAGCAGAAAAAAGCACACGTTGTTATATCGTCGTCGTTTATTTGTCGTCATCCTCGGCCCTTGAGATTACATGTTGCAAACACAGAGAACAAACATCGCACTGCCAAAACCTGCAAGCTTTTGTCGAGGTGCTGCGGCCGCGGATCCGCGCGCCCTCGTGCCGAGCCAGAGAGTCCGAGAATGGTGAAAGTGCAGATGAGAGACGGCCCAAACGGCGAAGACGTATGTCCAAGCCGCGCAAGGACAGTGCTTCAAATGATGATGACACTTTTGTGAGTTGAATCAAGCTTAGGCTACCATTCTTTTGTGCCACCCAGCTGCAGGACAGTGGCACAGATCGAGCTGCTTGGCCCATATGGGAGCTGAAATGAGTCCGGCATGGCACGCAGTCTTGTTCAATCAATCTGTTGACCAGTATGTAGACGGTTTTTGGAAGGGGATGCGCCCACTGCACATTGCAATCTTCAAGAATCCTTGCATTCGAGTGCGTGTGGTTTCTTCGTCAGACATGCTGTCCAGGTCCGCCAGCGGCTTCGCTCATCGAACAGGGAGGCCAGTGAGGCCGGCAAGGAACAACGAAGTGAAAGAGCCCCTGGCAGTCCAAAGCCCCTCATACCTTACAGGATCGGAGGCTCTCACCCCAGGACGTGCACTACACGACCGGCAAGAAGATGATGCGCACCCGTTTTACGCATTGCAATGTGGCGGGAGCTATTGAAACTTCGGAAACTATCAAAACGAGTGTGCCCTTGCTTCAAAGAGCTGGGAAGCACGAAAGTTACAAAGTGAAGGGTTTCACCAATAAGTTCGACAATGTGCAGTTTGGGCACCTGGGTAGCCATGCACGTCTGCCGGATGCGGCGGCCTCAGCAATCTATTCCTCTTCCGCTTCCCTCTGCTCCTAACCATCATGTTGCGACTTTGTTTGGGAGAGTGTTGGAGGGAGGGAGGGAGGGGAGTTTGACCTGCGACAGGAGCGCCCACACATGCGGCCCCGCTCTTGCTCCCGCAGCGTTGCCACTGCAGGGACGGAAGAGGACAGCCACCAGGCGAGAGCTGGAGCAGTGGAGAGTAGTCTGAGTAGTCAGAACCTCGCTTTGTGGAACGTGACCAACAGGAAGCACACAGGCCTCTTCGGCGACGCCGCAAGGTGCCGAAGGATCGCTATTTCAATACAAGTGTTGCTAGAAGATCCACACGTGTTGGGACCTTGCCCTGCAAGTTTTTTTTGTGGTGCAGTCTTGCCTCTTCGCTTTCGACATTGCTTTGTCACGGCTATGTGGTTCTTGGCTTTTACTTAGCTCAAAAGCTCATTGCCGACCTTCATGTTGTTGTTTCAACCACATTTATAACCCCACAGAAGCGCCGCGGGGCTCTGCGGCAAAGCGCCTTGCGTCCTCGTCTGCATGTAGGGAAGCCCAGATTCTGATCACCTGGTAGGCTTTGTCACGACACTTGTTGACAGGTTTGCACGTTGAGAGGACTCACGGCTTGCACTCGTGACTCTCGTGATGGCTGATGGTCAGTTGCTGCATTTGACGCAGATGCGAACGGTCAGTCGAGAGTAGTCCAGAACGAAGCTTTTCTTTGAAATCACGTTAATGGCAGGCAACTCAAAGCTGAGGTCTCCGCACGCGTTCGTGGATTGCAGGAGGATTATGATTCGGAGCTTCTGTGCCTCGTACTGCCTTGAGAAGCAAGGGAGAGTTTGGGTTTTGCTGAGAGTCGTTTCGTAGCTGGGATGCTAGTTGAGTACAGGTTTCTCTCTGAGACTGCAGCGGCGTGGCCCTCTTTGAAGAGGTGTGCGGGCAGACGTACTTTGCAGATCACGGACAGTGATGATGTTTTGTAGTTGGCAACGCTGCTTTGCAGAGTGCTGTTTTTGATCAGCGAGATTCCGGCGCTAAGGAGCAAGTGCATGCTCACCAGGCAAACGAAGGACAGGCCAAACAGCCACAAACCACAGGACGGGACAGCCGTTGAAGAGTCTGCAGCGATTCTTGTGCAGTTACACTTGTCAGGAGCCGGATCCATCGCCAGAGGGCGCCCGCGCCGAGGAGCCAAGGCTGCAATCTGTGTCTCCTCCCTTTCAGCTAGAGGCCGCTTCTCCTGCGAGGCTTGTCGAGCAAGTCGCAGAGCCGGAGGGTGACCTCAAGCAACCGATCTCTGTGGTGCCCCAATCTGGTGTGCTCCAGGAGGCCGATCGGTCAAGTGGCTCGGCCCCAGAAGAAAGGTATCTGCAGTCAGTGTTCGGAAGAGGGCCCGGCGAGCACGGGCGTGTAGCACACGCCCACAACATGCTTCGATGTCAGGTCATGGTCCTCTGATGGCGGAGTGTTTCGAGTCGGCAGCGCTGCCGACATCTGTGCACGTCCTGGAAGCTGCAGACACTGCAGTTGGTGCTGTCACTTCGACGAAGCTGACGCACGAGGAGGAGCTTCGGTTCGATGACACAGCATGTCCCCCCAAGTTTCAATCGGAAAGCACGTTCGGGCTTACGGATTTGAGCTGAAGCATTTTCTTTGCCTGCAGACAGCAGGAACTATTGCAGGCAGATGCCCAAAAGGTGACGACCTCAGACCGGTGGTGGCTACCACTGGGGTTGCTGGTCTTAGCTCCTCAGCGGTGATCCACTGCGATGGCCGTACCCCACATCCTTGTTGTCTGAGTTGGTGAGGCAGAACACTAGGTCACTAGGTAAGCATGGCAGAGAATGCAGAGAGCATCTGCTCTCGCACTCTCGCAGCAACCGAAGTTGTTAATCCCTGCATCTCAACATTTGAGGTTTCTGCAGGTTCCAGACGCTTTCGGCGGAGCGGCCCTCAGCTGCAAATGAAGGACATCACAGCTTCGAAGCAGCACGTGCCATGTTGTGCCCGTTGCCTTGGCGTTGAGGCCTCGCTGGTGGCGGCCCCAACGGGCAGTGGTGCCCGCAGCCATACTACAGCTTCAGGCGGGGTACAGTCGGTACAGTAGTAGCGCATGGTTAGAAGATCTTTGAGGCGAATGGAGGTGATCGGATCCGATGGTTTTTTTAAATATCCTGCATGTTGCACGACCACGATCTACAGGATGCCACGTTGTGAGCCGACATGCAGGAGCTCTGCACCGAAATGAAGGCACCGCAGAACAACTACAGTTGACGCGTGCTCCTGATTTGCTCTTGGGGTGCCTTGCAGTGGACCGTCGGCGTGAAGGAAGTGTTGAAGGTCTCATCTCTCGCTCCCCACGAGCTGCCTCTGCTCTGCTCTGTGCTCTTCGGCCCGCGAGGCGGAACGCCGAGCGCTCTGTAAGGCTACACGTGCCGGGAAGGACACTCCGTGTCGGAGTACACGCTGGAAAGGCGCCCCCATTTGGCCCCAAAGCATTTGCGAGGATGGCCGTGGCGCTGCCGCAGAGCTGCGACAGTTGCTGCAGAAGCCGGGGGCCTGGGCGGCTGGAGTTGAAAATGTTTTTGGTTCAGTTGTTTGCACCGGGACGCAGCTAGGGATCTTTCGTCATCTAGACACATTCCTCAAACTTAGTTTCAGACTCGGCCTCGTCGGAGCACGCATGTGCGCTCTCAATTGGCTGCAAGTTGCCTTGCCTTGTCCGAAGGTGCGGGCACGACTTGGAGACGCGTGCCGCGGCTGCGTTTTTCAAGTGCCTCTGCTTCGACTGTCACTGCTGCCACTCGTGCTGCTGCTCATGCAGCTGTTGCTGCACTTCCGAGGCTTCGACTCGCTGGCAACACGCTTTAGTGCGAATTGTCAGGCGGGCGGCCGAAATATGAAACATGTCCTCTGTTTAGACAGGGACCACCAGTCCATATACAACTGTGCCAATTTTATGCTACAAAGAGGTTCATCATAACAGTAGTTCCGAACTGAGTGGTTTTGAATCGAGCCTTTCTTTCTCTCTCCTCTTTGTCTCAAACTGACGGTTTTCCTGACGTTGCCAGGAGCGGAAGGTGTGGAACCCAAGATCTCATTCATGATGACTTGTTGTGCGGTTGCTGCAGTCTTGTGCTTTTGCTTGCTTGTGCTTCCTAGACTACTTATTTTGCATTTCCATGCCGCTCAGGTGTTGACAATGCAACATCAAGAGCTTCAGCTGGCCTACGTGCCCGCGCAGGGTTCGGGTTTTTTCGTTCCGTTGGCAAGATTTGCTTTCGTCACCGGAGGGTCGGATTGGCACATTCCGAACACCGAACACCTCGTCAGCTCACATGGTCAGTGCGTTGAACTCCAGGCGAAGCTTCTCGCCGGGCCGCAATGGAAGCCTCGGAGGGGGGCCTTGAGGCACAAACTGCGGAGGCGGCTGTCAGTGTCGAGCCTCCGCGCCCCTTCGCGAGGCCGCCGTCGACCCTGCACTCCCAAAGTTGGGGTGGAGGCCCCGCAGGATCAGTTCTGGGTTCATATACTGCATCAGCGCTTTGCGGAAGTTCGTTTGTCTTTTGGGCTGTCACAAGTTGCAGATGTTTGAGCGGGATGTGCAGATGGTTGCGGAGCAATGAGAGCATTGTTGGGTCGACTGTGGCACGTGCTATTCGTACCCGATCCGTACGTGTTGCGTTTACCGAGGTGAGGACTCGAACCCCGAGTCAGACGACGACGTCATCGTTGAGGAGGTAAGGAGGGGGTTGTCCTGCGGATGGCTGCAGTGCTCTTGTGCGTGGGTCTACTGCCCGGCCCAGCTGAACCAAGCTTCCGTTGAGGCCCCGGTGGAGCCTGGGATGGACGTATCCGAGCGGATACCAAAGCAGGTCCCAAAGCCGAACTACTTCACTTCAGAGGGTATGCCCTTGGGCTAGTTGTTGAGTGAGAGGATTTCCAGGGGTCCGGGTTACGATCCTCGTGGCCGGTGAGGTTCCCTCACAGACTCGCTCTTTGAGTGAGGAGCGAGAGCAGGTGGGGCTGGAACATCCTTCAATCATCTTCAATCTTGTGTTCTGCTTCCAACGGCTTCCAAACGATTGTGATTTACAGGAGGAGCGCGCAGAGATCTTGGCACGGGCGTCTGGCATTGTGATTTGGTGAAGCGCTGTGCGGCCTTCAACACGGAGGCCCAGAAGTAGAGTCCCATAGTTTTCCCCTGAAGCACCAGCCAGCCTCGTGTTCTGCGACGGTCAGTCAAAAGGCTTTTTCAACCTTCCAGATGCCAGATGCTTGGGTGACCATTTTTATCCAACTGTTGTCTACAATCCCCGAACTGACCCGCAGTGATTCTCAGCCAAGCCATCTAGCTTGTTGGTGCTATGTTGCAGCATCAGTGCAACTGCGCAGCATCTACAGTAGGTGTACTTTTTCGCCGCTCACCGGCCTGATACGTTGCAGTGACATCCCGGGATGGACGCCATGCCTCGCAGCAAGCGCCGGGCACAGAAGTGGCTGCAAGTCGTCGTGCTTTGCACCCTGGGTTGTTGGCTTCTGGGATTCTCTACGTCTCGACTTGCCGCTTGGACGCTGTGAAAGCCCTGTGAAAGCCGTGTACCCTGTGCCTTTCGTGGAGAGCCCAGAGCCCAGAGCTCTCGCTTTTTCAAGGCATGGCCGGGACTTGTCCGGCCCTTCTCAGACGATGGCCTCGTGGCCAACAGCTTCCGAAAGATAGCTCATTTCGGTCCGGGACCGGACGAGGCCGGGGTTTCTTGAAGCTCCGGGCTCTGGGTGTGACACTCTCGCCATCAGGATGTCGAGCGGCACCTGTCGCCAGACAAGCTTTGGGCATACCAGCTCCGTGACTCGGACACGCTTCGGGACCTGGTGTCCTTTTTCTTCTGCCGGTAGTGCTAAGGAGCAGCCGTCGGCCGCACCTTCACGCACGCCTTCGGCTTCCATGGCCAGGCGAGCCCTTCGTAGGATCCCGAGGAGTTGTTAAGCATCGAGAAGCAGGGAGGCTGCCCAGTGCGAGCCGATGATGCCGATGGTCAAACTTGCAAGCTTGAGCACCTGCAAGCTCATTTCAGATATACATGATTTAGGAGTTTAGGAGAACGGGTTCATGGCCTCTCCAGAGATGCAGAATGCAGAGAAGTGCGAATCACAAGACCTTGCACATCCAGGCACTTCTGCTGGCCCTGGCCTCCTCGCTGACTCTTCTGCGTGGCGGCTTCCTTCTAGCCGAGAGCACAAAGCCCTGCCAGGTGCAACAATTTTTAAGAGTCAGCTTCGCCTTTCAGGTAGCTATTTTATTTCTGCAGCTTATGTTCGGTTCCGGATGCTGGCAGCAAGTATTGGCCAATTGACGTCTTAACTTCGGGGGAGGGGATGGCGGACCCGTCACGTTGGAAGTTGCCGAGATTGGAGACGTACTGTGTCTCATGACATCTCATGACTGATGCAGCATGCGCTTGTTTGCGGGTAGTCATGTTTTCGTGCTATATCTGTCTCAGTCTCTCTCTTTCTCCCTCTCGGTCGCTCTTGCTCTTCCCATAACTCTGTTGCTTTCTCTTCCTGCGTTATAGCTTGTACAACATCCAGGGCTCGAGCAGGGGTATAGCAGGGTGCACAGCGGTGCAGCATAGCATAGCATAGCATAGCTATTTGCGTTTCGGAGCTCTCGGTGGTGCTCGGGTCCCCAGGTGTGTCATCTAAGGTCGTCTTGCTGGCGTGGGTTGACGTCTGATATCGGTTGGAGGGCACGACTCCTTCCAAACAGCACAAAGCACTTCTGTGGTTTTTCAAACAAAGTACCCGTTGTGCATGGTCATCCAGTTGAAACAACGCGGACTTGCATGACAGACTACTGCAAACTGTCTTGAGCCGCAGCTCAATATGGTGCCGTCTGATCGTTTCTGCAGGTAGCTTCCTGGTTCGTCCTCGGAGCGGCGATAAGCCTTTGTGCCTTCGCTATAGATCATGACGGGGATGGGAGCAGACTCAGCAGATCTTAGGTTGGGTGCTTCATCCCTGCACTGCGCCGTCCTTCGGCTCCGGGTTCCTCGGCAAGTGCAACCTATGCCGTGGGCGTGATCATGATCGGAGCCATGAAGTCCAAACCCAATACCAGTCCACCACCCCAAACCCAAGGATTTCTGATGATTTATGTGTTGGCTTAAACCAAACCATGACACTGCAACATGCACAGCATCCCAACACATCGTGAAAGCAACAAAACTTCAGACTGCACGGAGGCACGAACGAGTCAACGCAATTTGAAGTTTTCGGAAGCATACAGATGCTGCCATGTACAGCAATTGCAACGTTCGGAAGCACGTCAGTGTCCAGTCCGATCCGCAACACGTCATCTTGTTGATTACAAATGGGCAGGTGGCCTGTGCCCCTTGCTATCGTAACAGCCGGACTGAGAGTGTGTAAATCAGGACACAGATGCCTGAATTTACAGCATTCGCAGGGTTCAGAACAGTGCACATGCTGCTCATTCAGAGCATTAGCGCGATTCGGACACGTGGGCATGCTGCAGTTTGCTTGCTGCTTGTGCGGGGGCTTACAGCACAGAAGCCCCGAGTTGCAGCATGAAGTTGAATTCTGCTTGGGGTTAACTTGATTGATATGTCTGAAACTGTTAAAGTTATTGACATAAACGCACAAGAACATGACGCTTGTCAGACTGTCCTGCGATGCCCCATCTCTCAGCATGACGGGATGGAGGAAGGCCCTTATGTGATGCGGCCTTTCTCAAAGGAGGCCCATTTTTTCCATGGTTGTTCTTTGGATTTGGTTCTGTGCTTTGTTTCGCATTTGGCTGCTGGCTTCCCGCTTCTGGCCTCTCGGCTCTTTGGCTTTCGTGGTACCTGCGGGTTTTTGCATTTCGCGGCCTCCAGCCTTTCCGGAGTCCTTGGCTTTTTGTATATCGAGGCTTTCTATGACACAACGGATGTCTATTGTTTTGTCAGCAGTTGACATTTTGCACTGGCAGGTGTGCATGTGCGTGGAGGGGGCGAGCCGCCCCGCCAACCCTGCACGACCACTGCCCACTAGAGTCACTCACTAAAGCCAAGGGGACGGTGCCATTGCTGCTCCGCATGTTTTCCATGCTAGCAATTCTCGCAGTAGTAGGAATGAGGATGTCAACAGCAGTGGTAGTCATACCAGCTGAACCCTCTTGTGGTGTTGAAGACATGCCAGGTCGAACCAAACCGTTCAAGATTTTCTAGATGGTGCCACTCCACTGCCACTAGAGACAAGGAGGATGTCTTTTGTTTCGTTCACGCTGTAAGTCTGAGAAAAAGTCTTTCACTGGCAGCTGTGCACGGCAGCCGCCCCCCACTCCTCCCCAACCCCCCATGCCAGCCTAAGCCAAGCCAAGCCAAGCAAGACCAGGTTTTCAGATGTTGCCACCGTAATCAGGACCGGCAACATTATTGAACAGGAGCTGAAGACAACGTCAAACCTGTTTAGTTTACAAGAGTCAACGGATATGCCGTCTTGTTATCTTGGGCAGTGGTGCTGATCTCAACACTGCCTCCCAAGAGCTAGGCCAGCCCAAGCCAAGCCAAGCCAAGCTGCCATGCACCGGTATGTTGTGGCCAGGCTCAGGCCCGCACGGCAAAGTAACTAAACCACGCAACTGCATCCAACACGGTTCAAACCTCCCGAAACAGAGAAGTTAACTGGTCAAGCTGGAAAAACCGTTGCCTAAATCCCCAGGAAAAAGCTAGAGTGCTTCTGGTGTCTTTTGTCGCATCGCACTGGAATCTGCCCTGTGCACTGAGGCACGTCCGTGTGCAGAAATCGCTTCAGTTTGCCCTGGCAGTCGCTTGCCAGGGTGGCGCTTTCTTCGTGATCTGGCCTGCGAATTCAGAACGGTTCAGTGGATTGGATATAGGATCTCGTTCCTTTGCCAGAAGCAGTTGAAGCCCTCCAGGGACGCAGTTAAGTCAGACGAGCGCTGTCTTGATTCGGAGACGACCTGTCTTGAGGCACTCTTTCCTGAAGCGGCGGCATACATCGTCGGATCACTTGCGAGTTCCCTTGGCCGACACCTAGTCTTTGTCTCAATGGACAGACGCTGCTCCAACCCATTCGCCTTATAATCAGAACACTTGTTTCGAGCATGGAGAGAAGAAGCCTAAAAGCTTTCGGCCGGAGAAGATGCCAGAGAGTTTTTTTGTTGAAAATGGTGGAGACATGCATCGCTGTTCTCTGCCGTTTTGGACTCTATGGCTGTCATGGTTTTGCGCGGAACCAAGGTGTTATGGTCCAGCACATCGTGCAGCTCACTGTTGCCCTGCATGTGCCCAATGAGGCACATTCCGTGAGTGGCTCGAGCCACATCGATGCGAGTTGGTGGCAGTTGTCTGCAGCACGGCTGCACAAGTTTCCACGACTTGGGCTGGCTCGCTGCGCAATTTTTATTCGGAGACGACTGATAGACTGTCAGACGCATAGCTTTGAAGGGGTCGAATGTCAAGCTCCAGCTTATTGAGGCTTGTTTTGCACAGCTAGGGACACAAAAGCTGACGTGAGGGGCCCTGTTCCAAGGCAGGGCTGCTGGGAGGCTGCCTGTGCCTTCGCTTCCCGAAGCCGGCATTGCATGTCCTGGCCTCCATGGCAGGCGAATAGCACATGACATGCGGTGCACATGCAGTCATGCGGCACAGATGTAATGCGCATGCAGTTCACTATTCGCAGAAGTCTGCCTTCTTGTTGGAGTGTAGAGAGGGGAGGCGGAAATGCACTTTTGCCCGCAGGTAGTGCCGGTCTGGCTTTCGTGGCTCACTGGTGGCTGTGCTTGGCATGGATGCTGCTACGTGGGGATGTCAAGCACGAGACACCTCTGGAACATGTTGGCCACCTGTTGTCTCGGTGCGATCCACCGGCATGCGAGAGCACATCTCGTTGGATTTTTCTTATCCTCTGGGCTTTCTTTCTCGTGGGGGGCTTGCGGCTCCAGCGACACTTCGAGCTAAGCAAAGAGCAGCAGCTCTCTCAGTGGTATCAAGATCAGATTCGCAAGGCCCCTTCCGACAGCAACTTCGTTCCGCACTGGCCGGGTCAGACTTGCACGCCTTCCCCCGACCTGACAACGTTCCAGAAGGTAGATGTTATTCTGCCAGCACCGGCACCTGATTCCGTGGAGGCCAGGTAGGAGCACCTTTGTAGGCCGTAAGTGCTTTTTGTACATAACAAACTGGATGCTTCAAACTGATCTCTCAGGCTTGGCAGGGTGACTTCAGAACACTAACAGAGAGACACTCGACATGTTTGGTGGTTGAATTCCAAACTGTTGAAGGTGGCACTCCCAGAACGCTCGAGCAGCGCGCCCTTGCATGCCGTGGCACCTCCTCAGGAGGAGAGCGATAGGAATGGATCTCATGCCAAGAGGTTGTTAGACCCTTCAGCTAACCTGTAGGATCCGATTTTGCATCAAATCGGTGCTTGGAACTGCAAGGGTGCAGACCAAGTCGTAGGCATAAGCACAGGCTTTTGACGATGTGACCTGGACTGCACAGGAGCATGACATATATGTGCCGGAGGGTGTGGAGCCCCCCGTGCTTCACCGTGCAAGGACGACTGTGCCTGTTCTGCAGCCCGTGCAAGAATCCAAGCCTCTCACACAGTACGCGGCCTCCTCTTCATCAACCTCTCCAAGCCGACCAACCTCACCTTCGGCTTCCAGCAATTCAGAGCGGTCTCTGCGCCGCTTTTCTCTGGGCAGGGGAGAGCGAAATGGTCGTTCCGTTAGTGCATCTTCTTTATCATCTGTAGAGGCAGCCGCAATCCTGGGCTTGCCGCCCAGGTCTGCCTTTCGGAAGACTCCAGTCTAGAGCTCTCAAACGGAGCCGTCAACCGCAATTCCCGATGACCGGGAAGCACCGCATCAAAGTGCGAATTAAGCTTTAGGCTTTAGGATTGTTGTTAACACTAGCGTACTGCATTCAGAGCCTCGGACCAGTATTTAGAAGATCCGCGGCTATTACGTTCCACAGCAAACGTGCTCGGACGGAGTGTCACTTCGCAAGGCAGAGAAAGAGTGGCGAAGCATGCGGTAACTCGGAAATCTCGCAGAGCCTCCAAACCCGAGCAAACTTCGGAGTGTTCCGGGATGGATAGAGATGGTGGGAGCGTTGGCTTGCAGCTTGCGTGAATCTCATCGGTGCTTGCCAAAGAGCCTCTGAAAGTTATCCCGAACCTTGGTGGATCAGACGATTGAAGGGTTATTGAACTGCAGCCCCTGGTGCGCTCTGTAGTAGTCTCGCAACAAAAGTGATAAAGTCCGATGAGTTTCTGATTAGCTGGGATAGGGGGTTGGAGGTGCTGAGCTATTCGCGGATGCGAGTTGTGGTGTAAGGCTTGAGGTACAATGCAAGGTAACAGCCGACTCGAAAAGCGTCTGACATAAGACGTGGATAGGAGGTATACATCCTGCTAAATAAAGATACGCAAGCAAGAAGCACAGAGCAAAGATCTGCTGACACCACTACTGAATATGTCGCAGCTTTGCAGCGTCACAGAGCTTCAGCGGTTGGAGATCCCTCACGTTTTGCGGCTATGGGAGGCCGTCTGGAAGCATCGCTTCGTGATGTGTTGTTGTCTGCATTTACGGCGCGAACATGATGGTGTCGCGAAAAATGAAGTGCCCACAGGCCCTGCCGGGAATCCCTATGCCAACAACCGGCATGCGGATGTGCTCAACGAGGACTTCGCGCCGTGGAGAACCTGTGGATACAGAGGTAATCCGTGTGAGCATTGCGTGGCATTGTCAGCCCGAGGAGCCGACCGAGGAGGCGGCCAAGCTCCGCCTTTGTGAGGAGGCCTCGACCTGCTCCCTGGAACTCCATGGCAGTGTGACTGACCTCGGAGCCATGAGAGTCCCTGCTTTGGCTTGTGAAACTGGCAAGTACGTGATATTACGCGATACATGACATGAAGAATTCTCGTGCCCTTTCCTTTTGGCTCGCGGAACGGCAAGTTACCACGTAGCTCAGAGACGCCGTGCTTCTAAACATTTGCTTCTAAACATGGTGTCTCGGCTGGCAATTCCTTCCTGTTACTGTGGTCTTGAACATTTTCCGCGGCTGTTCCGGTCTTGGGGACAAGGGCGACCGTCGTGTGAGTCAGTGGCGACATCTTCTCAGGCGAAGCCGGTTGCGATTGGAGCCGCCGCTCTGACGCTCGGCATCGCTCGGCCGACTTGGCTCTTGCGGGCCTTGCGGGTTGGTTTCGACACTTCCGTGGCCTCCCCAGGCTGGGCGGCTGTGCCTTCCTGGCACCTTCGACTCCCCATGGGGCATCTACGCCTGCGCAGCTTCGAGGAAACACGGGACCTAGATGGACCTTGTGGCTACCCCAGGGTCGCAGTATGTCGCAGTCGAGGGTCTGGGGACTCGCAGGCCAGGTGGCTTCAGAGAGTTGCCAAGACTGCAGGAAATCCATCCTAAGAGGAACAATCAGAGCAAGTGACGTTCGAGCCGCACCACCGACATGCAGACTCCAGCTATCATCTTCCAATGTGTCAGGCGCCACTCAGGGTGCCTCCGCCACTGCCGGGGCCACTGTGTCTTGTCAGCAAAGATGCATGTTTCAGGATGGATATCGGCCATGTGTCGCGGAAGTGTGTGGAGACATGACGTGCTTCAACACGGTAGCCTCGGGAAGCCGTCGCACTGCGTAGCCGAAGAGAAAACTCCTTGAGCAACGACGGCATCAAACCTGTAGTATGACCGGCTTGTCGAGGCAGCTCTTTGACAGTTGGATGGACCTTTCTCTCGTCTCACAGTTAAAGATTTAGCATTTGCATGGAGTCCAATAAGCCGGAGAGATGCGCAGCGCACGCTCGGAGGCCCCGCTTGCTGGAGCTGCTCTGCTTGCCACCGCTGCAGCACTGGCGAGGTGCGCATGCATGCTGAGCTGATTTGCAAACGTGGGCTTGGGCTTCCTTGATTCGAATTTTGCCTGCGTGTCCTGTTTTGCAGGTTGGAGGAGGTTCAGGGTTTGTTGCGACGCATTGGCAGAGGCCTACCGAGTCGGCAACGACCCGCAGGGCGGCAGCTGTGAAGAAGAAGGGCGTGAAGGTGGCCATGCCCGAGACTGTTGGGCATCTGTTGGGCCTTGCCGAGAGTTAGAAGGATTCGGAGACACCATTGAATCTTTTGAGTGCTCCATTGTCGAGCGTGTGTACTTGGGAAGACTGTCTCATGATGACAACCAGCGTCTTGCTAAGTCTACTGCCATTGCAAGACGTTGTTTCTATCTTCCGCATAATGATTGCGGCATAGTGTTCCTTCTCGCCAAGCTTGTGCTGCTTTCCTCACCGTCGAGTCGGTGACCCAACTTCGCTGCAATTTGCACGCACACTTCAATTCTTGCCACTGCGTCGGCGATCCCTCGCTTGTCGTCATGTCTAGTCCTCTACTCGTTTGCCCCCACCACCGTGTGCAGATAAAGACCCTGAACCGGGTTCCCTGAGGGGGCGAATTGTAAATTGCAATATATGGTCTGGCCACCGTGCTCCAAGACTCGCGTGATGCCTGACCACAGTCATTATTCAGACCTCAGGATCGTAGCTTGGTGTTGCAAGCTGCAGTCCCGGAGCCTGCCCGTGCAGCATTCGCGAGCGGGTGTGACTCAGCATCACGATAGATACCTAGTACCTAGTTTTCTGGAAATGTTGCAATGCTAGTGGGGTAGTACTGCTACTAAGACCGTTATCATGCTTACTGCTGCACTCGGAGCTGTTGCCACTGTGCTTCTGCTAGTTTGGGTTTTTGGATTAATAATTTCCGTTTCATGTGCTGGTCTTCATTCTACTTGGGAAGCTGGAAGTTTCGGGATTTGCCGAAGGATACTCGTGATGCTTCATTGCGGAAGATGTAGCCGAAGCAGAGATTGCGAAGAATAACACAGTCACAGCATGAACACGTGATGGAGACGTCCCGGACTGTCGAAGTGCCTTCCACATTGGTGTGACAAAGAAAACCGTGGGCTCACGGTCACGTTTCGGGAAGTAATGGTGACTCGGATGCGGCTCCTGTTACTCCGTTGCTGGCAGTTGTGTGTTGAGTGGCGGATGTGTTGCGGAGTGGCATTGTGCCGGTCAGCAAGATGAAGTTTCGAGATCGCCAGGTCGTTCACGGCAAGGAGATTCCGTGGAACCTGTTCACCCCGAAAGCTCCATATGCGGGGAAGGCCGGGAGGTTTAATCACACAAGTTTTCTGGCCTGCGCACCCATGATAGCTCAATCATTTTGACGTTTTCTTGGGGTGTTTAGGTTTGCAGCTGTGTTCTGACAGGTCATCGAAAACGATGCGCACCCGCAGACCCTGACTGAAGATACCGGTGATGCAAATTGGGAGACTTGGTCAGAGTCAAACTTCCTGTCGGACCTGACCTAGGCAGTGAGAGCCTTGTGAACCCAGGAGACGTGCCACGTGACCTTCGACCACGGCGGCAAAGTGCCCTACATTGAAGGATCCCGCGCTGAGCTGCAGACCGTGACGAGCTATCAAATCAGTTAGGAGTCTTGTCGGTGCTTGCGGAACTTCCGTGTACAAGGAAGCAGCAATGAGTGGCTGTTGTCAGGACAATCCATCGGGATCATCGCGCCAGGCCTGTGTGGGGCTTGGACATGGTCGTGCCAGGTCTACGAAACGACGGAATTAGCCAACAAGAAGCCCAAAGCACGGCACATAAGCAAGTGAAGCCGTCCTGTTGCAAAATCGTATCTATGCCGAGCGGTGGCCGATGCATCTCAATGCAGTTTACACTCTGGCTTCGACACTGCCGTCGTCCTCTAAAAGTTGCACTGCACATGTGACGCATCGACAACAGTAAGGTCTGCCTTAACCGAAGTCTGAAAGGGTGTCAATAATATTGTTAACGTGGGTCCCTGTCAGGTCCTGACAAGAAAGGCGAGACCCCGGCCCGGATTCGCTTGTACTCTATCGCTTCTTCGGCAGTCGGGGACAATCAGAACTCCAAGACTGTGTCTCTGCTCCTAGGCGAGCATTCAGGATCCCGCAGCAGTTCGCGAGAAGGGTGAGGGGATAGCTCCGGCCTGAGCATCCGTTCAGGTGTGTGAAGCGCGTGGTCGAGCTGGACGGCAAATTTGCCAATCGGGAGAAGGGCGAGGATCATTGGGGGCCTCTCAAAGCTGCCCTGGACAGTCAGCCGCTGTCTGCTGACCATCACTGACAGGACAAGCCCGACAAAGCTGGAACTGGCTTCCCCGACAACAAGGCACACCCGGCTTCGTCACAGCCGTAGACTCTTGAGTCTAAGTACGCGTTCAATCCATATCCCTGCTCCCAAGCTAGTGTGCTCAAGTCAGGTCTATCGAGGAGTTTGCTCCAACCACATCTGCGACATGTCACCAGGACCGGGCTCATTGTCCGATCCATAGAACTGCAGCACGTAGCTAAAGGGGCAAGGTCTCAGCAAGGGCTATGTCTTTCGCAAGTTAAGGCCTCGAGCCAAATCCTGAAAGAAAGAAGCAGGAGACGACGTCATGATCACTGGCCCCACGGGAGCCGAGATGCTTCTGCCCCTCATCTCAAAAGATTTCTGTGGAAGAGGAATGGATGTGTCTACCGTGCTTTGAACGTGGAAGGCGCCCCCGTCGGTTGTTGCTACGATACTGTTCTTTCCTCGTCAGTCTATATAGTTCGGTGAACTTAGGCCAGAGGATCCAGAAGCCAACATCATCATGTTGGCGACAGGCAAGGAGTTGAAACAGGTTTCCGAAGTTACTTCTGTTACTTTTATTGCACACATAGATGCACATGCATCTGTATGCACCCATTAGCTCCGTGCACGTATTAGTGTGTTTATCTATATACACCCCCCCCCCCCTGACAGACCATCGCCGGCAAAGCCGGAGGCCAGTTGCAGTATGCAGTCGCTTGAAAAGCAGGTTACATCACACAGATGTGCGAACCATTCAGCATCCCAAACTCAAGTCGGATCTTCGAGCTGTTCGCGATAATTTGGCAAGCTCTGAAGCATATGCGTTCATTTTGACAGGATAACCGTGTTGCCACGGAGGGCCTTCTTGGGCTAGATCTCGAGTCTTCCGTTGACCGCTTTCGGCAGGGTTTCGGTAGGAGAACGAGCATCTTCTGATGCTGCTGATGCCGGTTGCAAGATCTCTTTGGATTCCTTCTGATAAAGCTGAGCTGATGTTGGCTTCAACAGGGTCTCCAGAATCTTTGCACATATTGGGCAGCATTGACGCTTTTCCTAGCAACAGGGTAAAGAAAACAACTAATGGCATATACAGCCGTCCCGCGGGGTGCTGCTTCTTTTCTCATCTCACGAGATGCGGAGCATTTCAGTTTCGCAGAGCTCTCGACACATCTGTTGCATGTCGTCTGCCTCCCCCAGTCCTGTGTCACCAGCCCTGTCCATTATAGAGCTTTCGTGCCAGCCCATGGCTCTGAAGTATTTTGTTGTGATACAAACTACTTTTCTATACATGCCCCATCTCATAAGAAAGTTATCATGTTTTTAGTATCATCTCGCAGTTCGTCCGTTGTTACGGTGTAGCTAATTATAAATCAACTGTACAGAAAAACAGCAGAAACTTCCACCGCAGGAAGAACTGGAAATGTTTTCCGTGCATCTTGAGTTGCAGCATTAGCGCTTCTGACATAGACAGGTCTATGGATGGTTCTATAGAACGAAAAGTTCGGAGCTGGAGAGATGATCCCGAGAAAGAAAGATTTAAGAACGATGGCAAGATCGAAAGATTGAAAAGGTGAAGGCTTAAAAGTTTCCATGCTTGATTGTTTGAGAGTAAGTCTGAGAGATTCTGAGAGTTTCAGAGATTGAGCGATTTGGAGATCGAGATTTCGAGCCCGTCGATTTCTGAAAGGTAAAAATTCTGGAGTTCGACATGCTTGAAAGTTAGAGACAGTGAAGGTGGAAAGGCATAGCTTGGGCACACAATGGCACACACAATGCGGAGCAAGAGTTGCAACACGGGGTTGGATAACCCTGATTCATTTTTTGTTTTGATATGTTTTCATTTTTGGGTTGCCGTATTCCAATTGAGGAATAGAAATACGGGTGCCACCGAGAAGCCTAGTTAAGGTTTAAGGTGCTGGTTTCGGACTCCAGGGTTGAAGGGTTTAGGGTTTGGGTTTTGGGTTGAAGGCTTATCAAGGAAGCGAGGTCTCGTCTTCGAAACCCCAAAATGTGCAGGAATGCTTTGGTTAATGTTTTGCTCTTGATGCTAAGCCTAGTGATGTTAGCAACCACGGAAAACTGTGGACAGCCCTCCCTCGTGGTTGGTCCACAACTGCTCGGTTGCGCTACGCCGACTATCTCCACGTAGTCGTGGCGGGAGCCCATGTGCCTTTCTCGTGGTGGCGTATTTTGGGCTGCAAAAAATACAATCGCCTTTGCATTCTTGATAGGTCGTCCTGCGACCGCATCCCACACGATGGCTGCTTGCGTGTTTGTGAAGCCAGCTGAGAATGATAGTTGCCTCCTTGTGAATGAGACGTATGTGTCAAGTGGCGAGGCACATACTCTTGCATTCCCATCGCTTGGTGCTATCAAAGAGCATTAGGATTATGATATCGCGGTGTTGCATTCAGTGGCCTTCCCATTGGAGGACCTCCCCTGAGGATGGGGTGTTTAAAGCTGCAGTGCTCATTGCATGGCTTGCCAAAGCCCGATTTCGGCATGGAATTTGCTGCGGAAGTATTTCAGAAGCTCCAGTGGTTCAAGCAAGCATGTCCAGAGTCCTGTTGTCCAGATCTGCCGTGCTTGCTTCGTTGGCAAGAGAAGGGTTAAAGCTGTTCGCAGGTTTTGGGTTGACAAGGTGCTCCGTGCCGCACGTGATCTTGTCAATATGTCTGTGCAGCAGAAGCATGAACAGTTTCCTGGCCCCTTTGACAGCCAGCCTTGCCCACATTTCGTTTATATTCCAGTCGGTTCCCAAGTATAGGGTTCCTGACACCGTATTTGTATTTCTTTCTATCATGGACTCTCCTTTCATGCAGCGGCGAGCACGACGGCTGCCCCGCTGTTATGATGCCCGTCCGTTCCAACGGACGGGCCAGGACGGTATCGTTTATCCTTCTTCCCGCGATTTGCCGTAGTTTTTCTCTTGACTCATGGTTGGACAGGTGGTGCAGCAGCTGGGCATTTTTGCCCATTCTGCGTCCCACATGATCGGTCCACCTGTTGCGGTCGAGCCGGACGTGTTTCAGCGGATGGTGTGCAAGCCTCAGGCTCCATGCATGTGGAGTCCAAGCATCAATCTTTGCAACACTGCGGGAGCGGATGTGGCGAGAGGGCTTGACCCTCGAAGCCGCTTTCGCCTGTCATGGCCAAGGATGAGGAAACAGTGCTGGGGTGACGTTGATCAGATGCAGTCCCCAAAGTACAAGTCAGGAAGGTGCGCCGTGCTTGCCACCCCGCCTCTCTTATTATTCTGAGCTTCGGGCTTTTGCGGCTTTTTGGACGGATCAGACACAGTGGCCGGAGCTTCAGTCTGCGTCGGGGCTCGCGGGATTCCATGTCGGTATCCGGCTCGGGTGCTTTGGAGCTTTCAATTCAGCTCAGAGAGACGGCCAACCATTTTTATTTAAAGTTCCTAGGGGCTTTCTTCAGGCATCTTGGCTGACCAGGTGCAT